GTACAAAACAGGCGTGCGGCGTTCAGAACTAATGACGTGGCAGTTTCGCTTAGTTCTATCTTCCCACCCCGCTCCTCCCTCAACCCCCTTTCCCCTCCCTCACTCTTCTCACATATAGATACCTTCACCGTAGAGAATACTCTCTCTTCCAGCTCTAGCTGTTCTCTTTCCGGTGTCACTGGTGTCGTTATTAATATATAGTATATTATACATAGCTCAGGGCTGTCACAGAAGCCAGACATTTACTTCGCCAACTCTTATAATACTTAAACAAAACATAACAAAAATGCACAAAGTGGAAGAAAGCGGGTAGAGGGGAGGTTGCGGAGCTCTAGCCTTGGGAACTGATTTTAGTGGGAAGAAGATCAGCACTTATTCGTTGCCGTCTCCTCTTTCTTTCCTTTTGTTCTCTATCTTTATATTCTCCGCCCGATTCGCTCAGATATAGGGTAACGTTTTGTAAGTTCTCTCCGGTAAACGCCAATCCAATGGCAAGTGTGTGTCGAACTATCAATTAGCGGGCGATCAAAGATATAGTAAAAAAAATGGGGATGGGTGAGTGGTAGAGAGGCGGTAGCGAAAGAAACCCTTCCGTCGAAAAGGAAAGCCATCGAGCGACCTAAAGAGGAGCGAAGAACAAATCATATAAAAAAATTATATGGATGGATTTTGGCCGCTCCATGTTTTTTTTCTTTGATGTATGCGTGCGTGCGTGTGTGTTTGTGTGTTTGTGCTGGAGCAGTTACACGGTGATGGTGTGTCGATCCGTCATAATCGCTCTCGCTCTCTGCAACATTCAAGCCATTCATTCCTCCTTTTTTCCTACGTAGAAAAAACACACCCTTTTCATAAATGTATATCTTCTCTCTCACGTTTAGTTTCTCTCTCTGGCCAGTTCTCTGTTTTGTTGTATACATATACCTTTCTTTATATATTCATATATATATTATATATTTATATATATATTGATTTATTTTATTTATATATAAGAATGTGGCGAAGACGATAAAGGCAGTAAAAATCGTTTTTTTTCCTTTTGACTAGGGTGGGTGTAGTAAACGATTGTGGAGGGGAAAATGGGTTGAGGGGGAGAAGGGGGAGAAGGGAAAGGACTATAAACGCGGGTCACTGGGAGGAGAGCGTCCTTTTTGCGTTTTTCACACCAAATGGCCACCAACAACAATAACGACCAGGAGAGAAAAAAAATGCATCAAAAAACCGTGTCGCTCAAAAGCACAGCAAAAAAAAAAATCATGGTGACAACAGTGCGCTCTTGCACGACTTTCACGTAACGGCAATAATTACAATAACGTCTCCCTACAACAGCCTAGAAAAACAAAACAAACATAAGAACCACTTATATAGGGCCTATTAAACAAAATTAAGCCGAGAAAAACCCAAATAACATGTCCCGCTGTCAAGGCAGTCGACATTTAACAGCAATAACTCAATAATAAGGGAAGGGGGTCGTGCTAAAGGCTTTTGGTAAAATAAAAAAGAAAGAAAAGAGACACCAGGCGTGCGTGTATCGGCCAATGAAATCCCACGCTAAACAATTGGCGCTCTGAACGTCGGGTGTGTCCAAAAGGAAAAAAAAAAAACGAGGACAGCACGGTACTTCTTTACATTTTTTTTCCTTTTCCATCAGTCGCACTGCTTCCCCCAGTTCCTTAAAGCCTGCATCGGAGATGCACAGAAGCGGTTCGCATGACGCGAGCGTAAGGTTCCAGGAACGAACATTTTGAACGACAAGGGACCCATTCGGCGTGATGCCGTCCTGGCAAAACGGATTCGGGAACGAAAGAGAAAAAAGTACAGAAAAAAAAAAACGGAGACAAGCGAAGCGGTACCCCAGGGGCCGCGTTAGAAACACACGTCTTTAAAAAGAGGGTCGTCCGATAAAAGGACGCACACACAACACCCGAGAAAGGTACAGTACGGCAGCATGCAGACAACGGAGAAAAGTTTTTTTTTTTTAGGTTGCGGTCGTAGCAACATTAGCGCGAAGACATGTCATTTCTTCCCGAGGCTGGTCCATCGTCGGCGCGTCACCCCTCCCAACCACCTGTGACTTTGCGCGCGCACTGTGTGCTGTTGTACGCGGCAGAGGCGTAGGCACTGCGCCGTGCTCCCGACCGGGTTGCAGAAATTAGGTGCCTTTTTTCATCTTCTAACCACTACCACCACCACCGGCAGAGGCGAACCTCGGGCGCGTCTGCTCTCCACTGTGTTCCGAGTGCCGCGTTTTCTCTCTCTCTTATTGGCCCTGCTCATATCTGGGGATCACTCGAGAAACACCACGTCTCTTGTCCTCCTTGTCAGTCGACTTTTTTTTTTTACTTCAACCATTATCTTTTCGACAATTCCGTACCGCGTGGTTTAGATAACCCTCTGTATGCACTATATATCGGCAAGACCAGTAGCATCCGCATTTCTATTACTTTAAGGTCGATTTGCTCAAAACGAAACTATGCATCATCATCGCATGCGGCGCTGCGACGGGCCTGATTCTGCGTCTTGTTGTCAGCGCACTACATTATCTGTGCTGCGACTGGTCATTATTTCGCGTTCCAGTTAGCGGTTGCAGTAGAAAGCTGTCCTCGCGTTGCAGTGCTATAGCTACCCTCTTCGCCGCAATGTTCGCTTGGCGTCCGGTGTTACCACAAAATGGCCACGTAGAGGCGCACTATCGTTGGCAGTGTATAGGCTGGTCGTTCCCAGGGGATGGCGTATCGCGGCGGCCGTCGTAGTTCGGCTCTCTTTGGTCGCTGCCATTGGAAAAAAAGAAAAGAAAAAAAGATGTGTTTCGCGAGCCCACTGGGCGGTTAGTGGCTGCAGACGCGCTAGCAACGGGTCACTCGTATAGTGGAAGGGTCTGGGGACGAAGGGTTTCTCTATTACAATACGCGCCACTTGCAGTAGGGGCGCCACTGCGCGTTGACGCCGTAGTGAAGGCGCACCGTTTTGCGGACCAGGGCCCTGGCTGGGCTAAAGAACCGGAAAAACAAGAGAAAAAAAAAGCGGCATCGGAAACAACGCCATGGCGGAACAACAACCTGGGGCATGCACACGGAAAGCTTACAAAAGGCAGTGGTCAGAGAGTTCTTCATTCATTTCGGCAGTATTTCTTGTTGCTGGTTGCACTCCGCAGAGTGAGAAAGGCTAAAAGAAAGGATCCGTCCAAGAAATTCTCGTCTTGTGCGCTCTCTTTTCCCTCTCTATATACTTCTTTTTTGGTCGTCGTAAAAAAGAAAAAAAAACGTGAAAAAAAATAAGATGAAGAAGACTACGAACAGTCACCATTGTCCACATCCTTTTTGTCTCGTCCGCCGCACAGTGGCAAAAACAATGCGGTCGCAGGACAGCTCTCGCACAGGCTGTGGCACGTGTCCCGTCGAAGCCTCCTGGCCCCGTCGGGGACAGGCGAGAGAGCAACGGGGAGCCCGATTGCGCGGGGACCGCTCGTGTAGCATCAGCGCCCGACGCGCTTGTGTGACTGCGAGCGGCTCTGGATTCCGGTCTGCCTGCTCGTGTTTCGTCCGGTGCCTGCGGGGCCGTTTGGCACATCGCGGAGGGACAGCGCCACCGTCCTGTCGTGGATGGTCGATGAGGGTGCTGTACCGGAATTGTGACTCGTAGGCGGGTGCTCAAAATAAATAGACTAGCAGAATGGGACACACCCCTCGCAACGGAAGCTCACGAATACGCGAACAGAAGAACCTTCTCCTTCGGGAGCAAAAGGGGGCGTGCGATAAACGAAAAAAAAATAGCACTCGCCTCTCACGCTGAGCGACGAATATATATATATAATGATTGGCTATAATACAAGATGCCTGGTTCTCTGACCATTAGTGACTGCGTGTGATGTCGGGCTACCCGCGCGGAGACCTCTCGGTTGGCAGTAGTAATCTAGGCTCGGTTGGGGTAACCTGTACGAAGCTATTCCCGTACGGAAAGGAAGGGCCGTAACTTAAACGTGCGTCAACTTTCTGGAAATATGAGAGCCCGTATTCATTTCGTTTTGGTTTTCTCTGGATCGACTGCTGGGGTGTTCGTTGCCTATGCGACAGGCAGCGTGCCAAGATTTCGCGTGCACAGGTCTTCCCTCGGCGACTTATAGGCGGCGCACAGGAGCGATGTACCCACGGCGTCATCGTCATATCCCTGCCAATGTGTCGTCAAGCTCCGCACGAGCACAAACGGCCGTCCGTCACCTGTCATCTTTGGTAAGTCTATTGTGCCGACCCTATGGGGGCGCATTCATCCTGCTGACAAGAAGTGAATGCTAGGAGGAATTCTACGGCGCGCGAACGCCTTTTCTTTTAGAATTGTGACTGGCAAACTTAACAATCGTGCTGTGTTTATTCGCTACTTCGTTTCTCCAACAGTGAATATTAACAGTAAATAGTAGCACTGAATATATCTTATCAATATAGCCAATGCTTTTCTGACGCACTATATACACTCTCAGAGTGACTTTTGTTTAGTGTACATGTTGATATTGAACGGCACTCTTAGTGAGCCGTTTGCGAAAGTATCTCATTTTATATTCAAGAGATGAAAAGAGAAGCTGACCTGGCAAATCGCTATATAATACATTATCACACTCGTCGTGCCTATCTGCACTACTGGCGCAGCGCCAGATTCATTGGGAGTTCTGTAAAGGAGTCCCAAAGGAGGCAACGTTGTGGTTTAAGATCACGAAACACGATGGCGCCGTGTCTCATCGCCGTTGTGCGCTGCACATAAGGCTACCGGTGGAAACCCGACTTTCGTTTTTTTCACCGAGTCTGTAGAAATCTCAAGGGACGCTAGAATGCCCGAAACTGCGCGTACTCTTCCGAATCATCGCGACGCATCACAACCTAACAGAATAGCTCTTTGTCGAAGTTACGTGCGCATCGAAAATGAGACGGGCATCTTGCCACGGAGTGGTGCAGCAATTGGTCCCGATGTGGGCCGAGAGGTGTGGCAGCGACGGCGGGCGAGCGGGGCCCCGCGCAATCGGGCAGCACTGTCTCTGGTATCACACACAGGCGGGCCGGCGTCCCGCGAGACTATCTGGTGATGGACGAGTTGAGGAGGAAGGGCACGTAGAACATCTTGCTGTGCAGCAGCAGCGCGGCGGCCGCCTGGATGTCCGGTAACCGCGCCAGCAGCTCGGCGAAGCGCGAGCTCTGGTTGGGGAACCGCTGCTCGGTGAACACCCGTAGCGCGGCCAGGTAACGTTCCTGTATGCTCTCGAGCTGCCGCTGGTTCGGGTCCTCTGCACAACCAATGCGATCGTGAGCGGCGGCGGCGGCGTTTTGTCCAGTGCTGTACTCACCGTAGCTGAGCATGATGACCACTTTGAGGCAGACGTACTCTTCGAGGCAGAGGCGCGCCTTGCGCAGCTCGCTGGCCAGCCCGGTCATCTGGTCGACCAGGGGCACTGCCTCGCTGGGCAACTGTACCAGCGTGACGGGCTGGCCCATGAGCGCGGCCAGCGTGCGCTGCAGCTCGCACAGCGCGGCGGCCGTCTCGCGGCTCACGTCGGCCGGCGGCGAGTGTGGCCCGCCGTCCGAGGAGGCCGACGACGAGCACGAGGACGAGGGGGCGACGCGCGCCGGCAGCTGGATGGCTTGGTAGGCGGCCGTGGTGAGCACGACCAGCTCGTGCCACTTGTGCGCCAGCAGCTGCGTGTGCACAGCCAGCGGGATCTCGGCGTAGAAGGGAAGCCTTTTGGTCCACTGCACCAGTTTGTGCACGATCTTGTCGGCAATCTGGCGGAGCTTGCGCGACAGGTCCTCCCAGTCGTTGAGCAGGTCACGCATGTTGTTGAGCGTCGCCACATCCTCGAAGTCGTCGCACTCGATCAGCTGCTCAATCATGGCGGCCGCCTGCTCGGCGCTGAGCGTGCGCCGGTCCGCCGCCCGCGGCTGCTGCTCGAGCACGGCGTGCCGCAGGTGCATCACCTCCGACGGGCTCGTCAGCGCCGTCTTCAGGATGCCGCCGTTCACCCAGTCCGAGCTTTGGTGGTACCTGCGAGGAGGGAGGACGCTGTAGCGTATATGCAGCCTCGGCACGTGCGTATCTCGTACCTTGGCGACGACGAGAGGACACCGTTAGAGGTGGTCGTTGTCGTGGTGCTGCTCGTCGACGTGGTCGTCGCGCTCGCCGTGGTGGCGGCCGCGGCCGAGACGAGCGGTAGCAGCCCCTTGGGACCCTGCAGCAAGAGCGGCGAGGGACCCTTGGCAGTGGAGGCAGCAGCGGCAGCGTCGGCCGGCGGGGACTTGGCCGCCACTGGTGGCTTGACTCCCGGCGCCGGCTCCTGGCGGAGCATCAGCTGACCGTTCTTGGGGCCCTTCTTGTGTTTCTTGTACTTCACCTGCGCCAGTCACACGGGGAGCGGAAGAGCGTCCGCAGGACAAACATGGCGCTCGGGTGCATCCGTGCCCAGAGAAAATTCGCTCTTGCCCTAACTGACCTCGTATATTGCACGCCTTTCCTCAATTACATTAGCACTCTGAAATAAAATCTTTCCTACCGGGGATAACTATGGTTACTGGCTCTTGCTGGCCTGGATCCAAGAGTTGCGCAAGCCTAGACTGACTATTGATTTTACCTGTAAAGACTGCAAAATAACCTTCTAACTTTTAGTTTCCTTTATCCGTTCACTTCATTAGTCTACGCACGAAATGTTGAGTTGGCACACGCTGGAGACAAACACACAAAAAAATTGAAGGATACACAGAACGCGGCGCTTACTTCGGCGCTTTGCGCTTCCCTGATTTCTTGCTTTGCGTCTCATCCTGCCTTGAATCGTAGTAGCTCGCCCTAACCTACATCAGTAGTTGCTCTGGTTCACTTATTTTTGTTTTATTTATTCTTCGAAAGATCATGTTATCCGGCCTAAGATTACTGACAAAATATATTCGTGCAATACCGCGTCCTTCTTAACTTTGCGTTGCGATATTTCCTGACGCGCGCACTATACTAACTCGCTGTGAATTATTTTTGCAATATGTGTGCTTGTACTTGCATTATGTGGCTCTGCACTTGTCACTCAAGACGTCACTTGGCTCTAAGCTTGGTGGTATTTTTGTGTCCTTACGGTATAGCGTCAGTTTCTTTCATCCGCACCATTACGGGCTATGAAATGTCTGCACGCGGCTTACGAGGAAAAAAAAGAAAGAAATGCGCTTACCGTCTTGCTCGGGCACAAGCATTAGCTAGAACGTCCCCTCTTTTGTTCGGCCGAAACATTTTTGCACACGTTATGCGTATTTTTTTTCCAGGACCATCGCGTCCATTGATTGGCGAGGAGGAGGAACTTACGACTTTCGAACAACCTCCGCGCCGGTTCTCTTCTTAAAGGCTTTCCCGCATCAATGGTAAGTGCGTGGCGAAGCGTGCTTGTAAGGGGCTTCCCGTCGGTTCGAAGAGGGCTATTAAAGGGCACCCGGAGGAGCGACACCATACAAGGCGAAGAGCAACAGGGCACCCTGGGCTGACGTTTCACGCCGGCACGGATATCGAACCGCTCGCTGAGTGGCGTATGGTCATAGTGGCGCCTTTTTGATGGCTAAAGCGCCGTTTCAACAAAACGCACGAGGCCAAGCCCGTAAAAGCCGGATTCGTAGGTGCTTTTACCCTTCGCCGGCAGCCTTCATCAATGATGTGTACAGTGTCGGGATAGGCTAAAAATTTCTCTTACGAGAAATTTTTTTTTCGCAAGAACGTTTCGTAGCTACGAACATAGGTCACTATCTGTACTGGCATACGATCACAACTGACGTCGTTCCTTTCTCAATGAAGCGGCTTCCGAGCTGACGCAGGTGACGCTTCCTCGATATTTGCTTCGTCTATATCAATGTTAAGTGTTAAACGGTCATGTATCTATACGTCCTGACAAAATTCCCTTAGATTTTCTCCCTCTATAACCTCGCGGTTATAATCTAGCTACACTGCTAGACTAACTGTGAACTTGTTCTACCTCCTTACTGCTTTTAAATATCAAGGTAAGCGGACTGAATATTTGTTAACTTTACAGGTGCAAGAGAAATACGTTACAAGTTTATTTGTTGGCACATATCTGTTTCCTTTTTTTTTCGTCGTAAAAGTGCGTTGGCCATAAGCAGATTTGTTGAATTAAGAAGTAATTAACTGCGTCTTGTTCTCGCTGATAACACAGAAGTTACAAAAGAACAAGCTCGCAAGTACCTTCACACGTATTATAATGCGACAGGAGCTTCAGATTTGCTTATAGCGCCAAATCGGGATGCCGATGACAGCTGTGTTTGTCGTACTTACGCGGTCGATACGCGAGTGTGGCACACCGGCTAATCCGCGGAGGTCGCATAACTTCCCGGAATCGCTGGCGTGATGCAGCGTTAAGGGATGACATAGTCGATCCCGATTCACTACTTGATACTTTCTTCACTTTCACGGTGATACGAATTAGACGCGAGATGGAACTAGCGAAAATAGCTATGTGGAATGGCGACAGGAGTCTAGTAGAGCGCTTTCGTACGTTTGCGTATCGAATTAAACGCCGAGGTGTAAGGCCGGCTGAACCGGAGCCAACTCACCTTGTATAGGTTATACACTGCTCCTGAATTTCTTCCACCGGGCATTCGGTCTTCTCGTACGGCTGGAAAGATAAAAGTAATTCATTAAAATCGGAGGTAACTGTTTATTGGTTTCCCCCTTTTTTTTGGTTTCCCGCTTCGTTCGAGAGCGTTCGTCGTAGGCGACACTCGCGTGGTTTTCTTAACAAAGTCAATGACTATTTATTAACATATTTCACGCAACTCCAAGGCACGTCTGCGTAAAGATGATTCCGGTAGAAATTCATAATTTGTGCGTTGCGTGTGAAGATATGTTCATAAGCACATTGAACCTAATGAATACGGGACTAGATGCTTGTGCACCAATATCGTAGCGTACCAGTACACATTTCTTTGTGCCGCGAAACTCGAGTTCACCCTTGGAAGTCATGCATGCATGTGCCAAGTCATAGCTATGCCAAGGCAGAACATAGTTTACGCATACCAAACTATCTCCTTTCACATCACAGGTTCACAAATTTCTTTTACAACATAGCAGCACCATACGAGGGCTTGTCCGGAACGAACAGCCGAGTATGTGACCACAGAAAAAGTTTTGTGTTTGTTCTGCAAGCTCGAGTCAGCTTAGTTTTTAAAATCGCAAAAAGCGCTTGCGCATGTCAATCCAACACCGTATCTTGTTATAGATGTACTCGCTCCAATAAATCGTGTGGACAGGCTTGGAAACGCAGCAGACATCGTTGAGAAACACATATGAACATACACAGATGCACGCGAGAAAGCGTTTGTTTGATCGACCTTCTTCGCCACTTAATTAAGTTCGCACATCCAGAATTATCTGTCACTCTTCGTTCGACCGAGGCAAATAGTTCAGCACCTTATTTGTGTGTGTCGAGAAATTGGTGAGATTCAAGATTGATCGCGGGTTCTCGTGGCTCAGAGAGAGAAAAAAAGAGCACACCTATAAAAAAAAAAAGAATCGTCAGAGTGTATCGCGTGTGATATTATTCAGCTAGAAATTCTCAGTTTTCCAATTGTGACAAAGGGCAGATGTAGTGAAAAGACAACGCTAGGAATAGGCGCCTGTTTCACTTCTCAATGTACCGAAATTCATTTCTACCATATGTGCGACTAAATTAACTCAACCTATGTACAACGAACTTTGTCAAGATACGAAAGGAAGCACCGACCATTTGGTTTCTTGTTTGCTTATCGAGAGCTTCTTACGTTCACATAGAAAGTCATATATGATATCGCTTGCAAATAGGCGCGAAATTGATGCCTATTCATTGCAGAAGCCGTAAATAGACCGATCAGAGAGTCTTTTTTTTTTTTTCACCCTGTGGTGCCTACCATGAGCAACCGGCATGCCTGGTGAAAATACATTGCCTTACATGAAGCAATTAGAACAGGAAGCTCCGGAACATTTCATTTTTTTCATGTAAAACATGCGTGGTAAACATTGGCGCGAAAAAAAGAATGAAGGAAAAAACGAAAGAGCCTTGGAACGTGAAGAAGGCACCACGGGATGAATTTCTGCCGAGTTTTGAGGAGTATTCTTACACAGATTATCTGGCTAAACGTACCACCTGCTGCAGTGTACGGGTGCGAAAATAGCCACATCGTCGCGCATATTGTGACAGACTTTGACTGCACTGCGAGAGATATCACACCACTGTTGAGACGTCGTAAGCAAAGCACGCTATAAGGCGTATAGAATAATGCGTGAGCATCCAAGTTCGAATGTGCCTGAGTCGAATGTTTTGTCTGCTTATGGCCAGCAGGCAACGGATCGAGCGCTAAGGTTTGCGTACGATTTCGTGCAGCTTCTTCAAATGTCCGCCGTTAGTATTTAAGTATGTGGTCGCGCTTAGGTGCAATTGTTGGCCGAACAAGTTATCGCGCCACGAGAAGCCGTTATTCTGAAGCTAGAAAATTGTGAGCAACGTGATGTCCGTGCTTTAAAAGTTGCTTTGTGCGGAGTATCACCACCTTCCGTTTTGGGGAAAGTCAACGCGCTAGCTCACTCGTCTCTTCCCGTCGTTAGGATGCGGATCACAACTGCGGCACGACTGCGACGCAGCGCTCGGTAAAAACAGTAAAGTGTACGTGTATCTCGGAGTCTGTAGCTCCCGCCGCACGGGTACGCGCTCCGGGCGATAAATCGTTCGCGCAACACGCGTCGCTCGCGAATCCGACGTTCTTTTCTGTTGTGACGCCCGCGACGGGCGACCGAGTCGCCTTCTTGGAAAGCGACAGTTGGAGCCGCGCCGACCGGGCCATCGAGACTGGCGCGATCGCGCCCGCCGGGGCTGAGCCTCTTCCTTCTCGGAAAGCGATGCAATTAAGACGTGACCGTCATCTGGTCGCGGCCCCATTCTGCGGCCTCGCTTCCTGTACACAACGGTCGCGTTCGGTTCGTGAAACGATTCGGCGGCGGCTATATTTACACTCGCGCTCCGAGCGTTTCCTGCAGCCGGCCTTCTCGGCGTTGTCCACGGCCGCCGCCGCCACTTGGATGCACCGGCAGCCCTCCCTCTTTTTCTGCGGGGAGGTAAATGGGGGGGGGGGGCGGAAACGGTGGCCTGCACTTGACGCACGCCCCGCCAAGCTTCCGCGAAGTGTGGGACGATCGCATGTTACGCGCAACACCCTCGGCGGTGTATGTAAACGACGCCTCGGTATCTTGCGAAACCATTCTTGAAACCACTTTTGAAAGGCCGCCGTTGAGAGAGGCATTACACGGCCGCTGCACGCTCCATGGCCACACCATCTCGCTGGTAAGAAGCCCCAACTGAATAAACGTGAGCCTACCTGGCACATCTCTTCCAGCTCACACCATCACACGAAGGGAGGACCGATCACTTGGTATATCAAGAGTGCTCAACAAATGCCTGTTTACCTCAGTGATTCGATCGCGAGGGCATTGAAACTACAGAGTACGTCTTTTGTCTTCTAGTCATGCGTGCACTGATTAGTGCATTGCCGTTTACCGACTACGTGATACGCAGTGATCATTACCATGACCCACGTTTGGAGATTCGGTTCGAAATAGCACACTTCAGACGCCCTCTTTGAACGTTATGGCTAATTTCACATAATGACGATATTGTCTAGGATAAAGTGACTTTGTTTTTATAAGGTTTAAAGCACTATATTTGAACTGAATGGTGTTTTTCTTCCGCTGGAATGTTATGCTGTTTCCATATATGATGAATTCTTTTCTGTGTCACATGTGCCTCCAAAATGTCTGATCACGGAAAGTTGCACCTCTGATGACAATTAGTGTTGGTGTGTTTCTCTCAGCACATGCCATTCTGCATGGAACGCGGAACGCGTCTCCGGAGTTTGTCATGTCCTTCTAAAAGAATAAACAAACAAAAGTTATGGAAGAAAACAAAGTGATGTGTGAATGAAGTCTCGGATGTAACAGCCGTTATTCGTCGTGTGCATACTAGATGGCATCACAGCACCATGATTCACAAAATGCGTGTTATCCTCGCCTCATTAATGCTATTTGCTCAACGTGTTTAATAGGGCGGGATATGTGAGAATGCTGGATCATACACGTGATTTACACTTTGGGAAACAATTTTTTTGTGGTAATTGGCGATCACTTACTCAGTTATTTTCGCTACTGAATAAAGCGTGTCTCGTTTATAAGCGATCTCGATGGCGCCTCTGTAATTGTCCGACACCGTACTCAGCACAGAAGCATCGAACGCGTTGTGTTCCGTACGGAAAAGTTGTCTTAGAGAGCGGCTTGAAGCAGTATCGTATTTCCCTTTTTCCTTGACACTTTGGATTCAATTTCTTAGCCTTTTTTTTTGGTAGTCTCTACACCTATTATCCTTTATTCCCTTTAGTGTTCTTTCCTTAGCACAGGAGGGTAGAGAGTCGTTGTAAGAACTGGCAAATCTCTCTGTCTTTCCGTCTATTTTTTCCCTAATTGATTGCTGCTTTAGTTTGCGAAATCGCCAAGTTCTGGGGACGAGCCTTAGCACAGTGTTATATGCGCAGTTGTGTGTGCGTGGAATGTATCTAGTGTCATTACTCTCCCTTCCTTCTGAATTTCCTTTGTTCCGTGTCGGCCGGACATGCGTCTGAAAGATTTGACTGCGTTAAGCAGGAAGGTCAACCAGACGCAGTTCATGCAGCCACTGCTTTAGTCTACGTATTCGGCACGAATGTTATGTCGATGCTTTGTTTTCGTCTACGTACGAGCCGCGTGAGGACGTACCTGCGAGGACCATGCCTTGTCGTAGGCACTTCTGGAAGCGGCAGTACTGGCACCGGTTTCTCTGGGCCTTGGTGATCTCGCAGTTGCCGTCAGCCACGCACGTGTACACACGCTTGTTCTGCACGGTCCGCTTGAAGAATCCCTTGCACCTTAGGAAAAAGCCAGGGGAGAGCCACCATGCGAGGAGAGCGGCAACGAAGAAAAACCCGCCAGCGGCGCCCGCTTAGCGGAGAGCGGATTCTTCCAGAGAAGCATGCGCTACAAATGAACCTGATTAACTGTATGATATCGAAGACGGTGACCTTTTACGGTGGTAATCTAGCCATCACCCCCCACCCTTCCCACTTTTCCTTGCCTATGTACACACAGTCTGCGTTATGAAACTTCTTCATGTGTACTTATTGTAATGCATGTGTTCTGTGACTTTTGAGTCTACTCGCAGTTAAAAGAAGTCGTTATAATATAATAGACAAGATTAGCATTGTGAAAGCCAGATGGGGACGTGAAGGAAAGACGTAGGACCATGCTTGTCTTGTGCTTCTACTTCTTGTTTCCGCCTCATAGCATTAGTAATCCCGTTCTCTTATGCTCGCTACGAATAGCCCCAGTTTCCACTTTACCTGTCTCGCTATATAATGTCTTAATATTGTACACAGCTATTAAACGTTTAAGGGTTTCGGGGAGGCAGCTATTTTTTTGAGCATCTCTACTTTCTTCATCAGCTACCTGCTCCTTTCTTAATTGATTAAAGAAAATTAACTGGACTAACGGTAATCTTGATTGCGATGCTTGAGCGCGCATTTCGACTGTTTGACTAAAGCACGCGAGCCGCGACAACAGCTGAGTCAGCATGCTGCAGAGTTTGCTCACCCTTCGCAGGTGATGATGCCGTAGTGCAGACCGGTGGCCTTGTCCTCGCAGATCATGCACACCATTGGCTGGTCGTCCTCTTCGTCGGCGCCTCCCCTTGAGGTGGATGGCGTCACGCCGGCGGCCACGCATAGGTTCAACGCCTGCGAGTCCGGCAGCTTGTCGACCCACGACGCCGCTGGCTCCGGGTTCTCGTCCCGGCGCCAGCTCGCCTCTTCTTCAGAGCTGGCCGCCGACGTGGACGCGCGTCGGTAGAAGATGGGCGACCGCTGGAAGGCCGGGAACGGTGGTGCGTAGCCCTCGCGGCTCACCTCGGTGGCGGCTGCCGGTGCGCCTGCCGGCCAGCTGACCACCTGCGGCCTGTACATGCGCCGCACCACTGACAGGTTCTCGTCTTCTTTGGGCCTGTTGAAGGCGCTTGAGTCCGGCGTCCATGCACTGGCTGCTGGTCCCGCACGCCGCTCTTCGTCGTCCGAGTCAGCCGGGGCCACTGGCCGGCCGGAGCCTTGGGGAGGCGGGGACTCATCCGCGCGTCGCGTTGGAGGTCCAGGGGCCGCGGCACCACTGGACGACGAAGACGACGTGGTTGTCCGTGACGACGACGATGCCGCTAATGGCTGCTGGGACTGTTGCGACTGTGGCTGGTGCTGATGGTGATGCTGATGCTGTGACTGATGTGACTGATGTGACTGCTGCGACTGCTGTGACTGCTGCTGTTGCGACTGTTGCTGCTGCAACGGCTGCGACAGTGGCTGTTGCTGCTGCTGCTGAGCAGGTGACGGCTGTTGTTGCAGCGGCGGCGGCGGCGGCTCAGGCGACGAGGTGTTCACATCGCCGTTGTTCTCTCCATCGCTGCTGCCACGCGAGTCCACTTTCCGTCGCTTGAGTTTGATGTCGTGGAATAGGCTCATCTTAAACAGTAGCCTGTGCAGGAGCGGGGGGAGCATACTTCCTGCTCGCGTTTGGAACGGGGATGAGGAGAGGAGAGAAGAATACGGGACCGTTAGCCTGAGCAGAGCATAGGCAAACAAGTGCTGTGGAAAGTCACAAGCAAGAGCAAGATTGGGGAGAAGGGACAATCTTCTCGCTTAAGAACGCCCTGCCACCCAGCACTGCCATGTTTCCCTGCATAACGGCTGATAGAGTGACAGAGATTAATTCCCACTTGACTTCAGGATGGGATTACCCAGTTGACAGGATACTTCGTCATCATCATCATCATCTAGCAGGTCTTTGCCCTGCCGTGGGTGTAGTAAAGTAGAGCGAGGAGGTCTACAGAATCCGGTTCCAGCTGAGCCCGGCTAGGGCTCGTCTGAGAACGCACAGTGACGTAACCACTGCATCGCTTACAGTGTAGACATTATGCTTGATTGATGGGGTTTAACGTGCCAAAGCCACCACATGATTATGAGAGACGCGGTAGTGGAGGGCTCCGGAAATTTCGACCACCTGTGGTTCTTTAACGTGCACCCAAATCTGAGCACACGGGCCTACAACATTTTCGTCTCCATCGGAAATACAGCCGCCGCAGCCGGGATTCGATCCCACGACCTGCGGGTCAGCAGCCGAGTACCTTAGCCACTAGACCACCGCGGCGGGGCTACAGTGTAGGCATCAGTTTTAGGGAGAAAGGATAAATGAAAATCAGATATGTTTGGCGCACATCCGGCCCCTGGGGACGAGAAGAAGACGAGGGAAATAGCGATAGCTTTGAGTACCGATAAAAGGGAACAAACTCAAGTAGCGGTCCATTTGCTGTGCCTAATACTTTGTAGCAAAAGCAATTCCGTAATTTTTAGTATCTGGTGCCTCGTGAAATTATCAATATATTATGGTCAGTGCCGAATTCAGTAGTTTATATTGAACACAGTCGTTGCTTTTTTTCTTCTACGCTTTCAAGGTGACTTGCGACAATAGTCCAGAATCGAACACCGCATCTTTATGTATGTACTATTATTTAGGTGGTCGCTTCAGTGTTCTATACCTTTCCAGAACGGTTGATAGGCGGGCTAGATGGTACAAATTCATAATAAAATATCTGGAAGCGCAAACCAATCGGACTCAAGAGAAGAGACAAACAAGCGCAGACTGAAACTCAGTTTATTCAGAGAAGAAATTATATACCAAAAAGAAGAGTGGTGGAACCTTCTCCCCAGTTTTTTCCCTTTCTCTTCTTTCTGGTATATAATTTCTTCTCTGAATAAACTGAACACACACACACACACACACACACACACACACACACACACACACACACACACACACACACACACACACACACACACACACACACACCACACATATATATATATATATATATATATATATATATATATATATATATATATATATATATATATATATATATATATATATATATATATCTGAGAATGTCTAGATGTCCGTTATAGAAGTTCGCCCGTTTGCGTTATCTGGATGGACTGCTTCGCTTTGAACAGGAGGAGTGGCCAGGTGGTTTGTCGTGAATGCCACAAATAGGATTGTGATCGGTCTACGCGTGATAACGAATGGCAAACTTGGAAGCCCTTCATTTCTTTCTTTTTAACACTGCTAAACCTGACGCGCTGTATTATTTTTTGTGCCTTTTTTACAGCGAGGGAGCAAGAAAAGAAGATAAAAGGTGGTCAGCGACGTAATACAATCGCTACGCCCATCGCAAATTGAGCGCATTGAGCGATGTGCGATAACTTTCCCACACGTATTTCACCACGCCACTTTTGCCTCAATGGCTCCGTAGATTTCCCGCGCGAAGTTTCGGGTTCGCTTCCCTGACGGGACAAGGCGTCTCTCTATACTGTAATATTGTTCTGAATCTTTAAAAAAAAATCACGACGGGTTTTACACTAACTGTTCAACTATTTGCCAGTACGTGGCCTAATCGGACAACGTTGATGATTAAGTATTGACTATTTCATATAGAAAAGCCTAAACTTACTTGACATCCTAATTATGAATATTGGTATCAGGTTCATTCGCAAGCTTATTATTTGTATATACTCTTTCTTCTTACTATAATTTTCTTCTCTTTCTTTTGGAATCCTTTAATCCCATTCCCCATCCTTATACAAAGTATACCACGCCAGCGGTTATGGGGACGCCAGGCGAAAATTTGTTTTCCCAATAAATAGCCTCTCGTTTTCTCTCGCAAGAAGTGGTATGGCGCCTGCGAGTACAATATCGTGCACAAAATTGGTGATGCCGATTCCTTTCTTTCGTCGCTCGTATCTATACAGCATAGCGACAGCGAAATCGCGTCACAGCAAGGAAATCGAGCTTTTTTTTCGCAACAATGTTTGTGTAAACAAACACGGTCGCTCATCGCAAGCAGTTCGCGAGGTCCCGGCTACATAGTCGGCGCGCACGACCGGCTGCCTCGTTCACGACGAACATCGATCGTTAAGCGTCATCACAATCTTATTGCTACGCTCGTTGCGCAATAAATGTTTACTTGCGTGTATACGCTGACAGTAAATATCATGCCATGGCCTTGGGAAAACGTTTGATGCTGGTGTGAAGTTATCTTGAAGATATATGTTTTTGCTCTACCGAAGTGCATATATATATATATATATATATATATATATATATATATATATATATATATATATATATATATATATGTGTGTGTGTGTGTGTGTGTGTGTGTGTGTGTGTGTGTGTGTGTGTGTGTGTGTGTGTGTGTGTGTGTGTGAAGGTATGGGATATGGCACAACGGGAGTGTTGTCAACAAGGATAAATATATTTATCCTAGTTGACAACGCTCCCGTTGTGCCATATCCCATACCTTCACAAAGACTAACTGGCCCATTGAATTATTACTCCCATTATATATATATATATATATATATATATATATATATATATATATATATATATATATATATATATATATATATATATATATATATATATATATATATATATATATATATATATATATATATATATTCTCGCGTCATACGTTTCCCATAAGGCCACCATGGCATAACATTATCGATGAGCGCTGAATATACGTCAATTGAAGTATCGCGTGAATGAGTGCGAATCCCAGAGCAAGAACGTCTTTACTAAAGCAGTGTTTGATTTTCACCGGTGGGAGATATTATATGTTCTTTTAGTTCCTTTTTCTTTTTTTATTACAAATACGAACCATTTTTGTTTGTTTGTTTGTTCAAACTTCATTCTATGTATAGGGACAAAAATGATGTGCTCATCACGTGCACGTATTTTTTTAGTTTGAGGTGTCCAGGAAGAAGGAGAGAAGGAGGAATAAAGGAAATGCGTAAATGTTCGAGTAATTACGTTCGAGGGAACCACATGAGGCCGAACTTACGTCCTTAGTATCTGCCGCACTAATATTAGAAGCACATTTCTGGTTCACAGCAAGATGGCGTGACTCATCGGGTAATGCCATCGAGTACTTTTAAAAGAGCGTTTTTTTTTTCCTTCTATAGTGTTTCATTGATTAAACCTTCTCGACACCGCAAAGTAGGCATCACGCAAGGTCGCAAGTCATTCACAGTGGGACACAAATGTATGCCGTACAAATGGGCTGTAAGTTGTAACCTTGTTCGCACAAACGTGACGTGTATACACTGTGACAGTCGCGGTGATGGAAGTCACGATGTCACGTCGACGTCACTTTCGAAACGGTTTGAGGAAGTGTGGCAGCTTGGGCTAGTTGGTATGGCATGACGATAGTTATAGGCATGACGATAGTTATAACGTCGTTTTGTTCTCGCGCTATAACTATCGTTTGAGGGAATCGTGCAGTCTTTTCCGCGTCACACCGCTGACTAAGCCGTGAGCGCTTCGCGTAGCGGCTCACACTGACCACCCTGTCGCTTTTCGAGCAGGGAAATATGACACGTCATTCGTCGCAAGGAAAAGAGAGAAACCCAGAGGTTGAATATTCGGGATTTTTTTTTTCCTTTGTGTGCGTGCGCGCTTTTTGTGTCGTTCGTTGTCGAATGATAATGAGCCACTGTAAGCAGTCCTGGCCGAACGGCGGTCGCCGCAGCTGTATACAAATAAGAGCTTTCGACTATTTTCATAGTGAGCGTGAAACAATCGGAGCAAGCAATCGATCTATATAAAGTGGTGGCTTCGGCTATGTGTTTATGACGGTGAGCGGCGGAGTCCGATTGGTCACAGGCTCAATGTCCCTGCTTTTTCGACCTTATATGCCGCATAAAACCGCTCGTCTATACTTCACAACAAATTCTTGACGAAGTCCATTGGGATGTACAAGTGATCCTAGCCTCTGAAGCAGTCAGAATCATCTGCATCGTCCAAGGAATGGAGACCGAATGCATCTTTTAAAAACTGTTTGAATCTCCCGCTGGATGTCATCTACGTTAACTTGACCGCACGTAATGTGACACACATTTTGTTCTAATAAAAACCATACCAAAACAAACTTTGTTGCATCATCAGGGATGCGTGTAATTTCGCTGTTTGTTTGTTTCTTGCTGTGCGCGATTGCAACGTCTTACGCTGAAGAGAACTTGTGAGGAGACGTATGGGAACTACTGGGCCAAGTATACGGAACGAGTCGTATACGGGAAACGGACGAGCGAGCGAATGATTGGAGGCTTGGGGAGGTTGCCGGGGATTGCGACGTGCTAACGTCGCCTCATTTGCGACGCATTGCGGGAGCCCGTCGGGGACGCGCATCTAATCTCATTTACCATTTCATTCCTCTTGTTCCCTAGCGCCAGCCCGGCCACCAGATGCAGCGGCCATGAGTCTCCGAGCACGACGTAGTATATTGCTTCGGCGTGTCGGCTCGCTGAAAGGCCGAGCAAATCTGCCGAGGAGCACACATCGCTTCAGTGGGGGAGGGGTAAAAGAAGGCTGGCGATTGTCAGTTTCTTTCTTGCTTCTCCTTCTCCGTGTTTGCCTCGTTTCGATCAGGTGATTAATGCGCAGCAAATCGCTTCCCCGGGCTCCTCTTATTTGACTC